GTATATGAAAATCAAACACAAAAAAGCCTAAATGTGCATTCGATTTTTGAGTGAATTTTCTCCAGTTGCATGAATTGTCTCACTATGAGCTTTAGACTGGACACATGAGATACTGAACAGCCTAAGGCAACCAAATTTACTCCAAGCTCACTCTATCCCTCCTCCTGTGGTGCACCTGCCCCCATCAGCCACACCTTAAGTCTGACTTTGCAAAAAAAAAAAAGTCCCGGCTTTACACCTTTTGTTTCTTTTCTTTGTTTCACATCACACAAAGCTTCAGTTGACACCCTCTTTCTTTTCTTCTGCTGCAGGTTTACATCGGCCTATTCATCCCTGAGTTCAGTTCACAAGGAAGGAATGTTAAAGTCTTGAACAAATGTGAGGAAAATCAATAATCAGTGGTGATTAGTCTAAGAAAATCCTAAAACAACAGATGTGGTGCATTATCAACTGAAAACATTCACTCATATGTGATAGCTTGCTGCATGAGTAAGCAACTGTGCTTACAAAAGATTACTTTTTGCACAAATGTGCTTATAAACCATCGAATAAACCATTAAATAAGTAAGCAAAATCACTGAAAAATGGTTGATTATCACAAAAGAGCACTGTATGTGAAACAAATAGTTCACCCAAAAATTAAAGTATGGTGTAAAAAACAGTCTATTAAACTTATTTTGCTTGTAATTTTTTCTTAGCTCTCAAAAAGTGCTGGTAGCCATTCACTTGCAATTTATGAATCACTATAAGACTGTTTTAAAAAAACTCTTCTTTAATGCTCTATGAAAGAAAAAGTTCCAGGGGTGAGTAACTAAAAGCAATTTAAAAACAATACAGTAGCGAAAGATAACTTCACTATGTCAGAAGTGAATACCGAAGCGACAGCAAAAAGAGGATTCCATTTGGTCTTAATGATTTTTTCGATGGGTAATTTTCACTAATTATGATTGCATAACAGTCAAAAAGGACAATTGGCCACAGAAATGTGTTTCAGCTAAACGAATATGATTTTAATCTTCAAATCCCACGCTATATGCAACTTTAACTAGCTTATTTTGACTCTGACTTAGTTTGACTTTGAAGCATTCAGATACACTGCATTTTATTTAATTCTTATTATTTTTACAGAAACATTAAGCCATATATGTTACTCACAGTGGTGTAAAATAACAAATTACAAATACCTAAATTACTGTAACTGGGTAGTTTTTCTTAAGAACTTAAATTTATGAAGTATAAAACTTTGTACTTTTACTTTCCCTTGAGTACATTTTTAGTGGTGAATCGGTACTTTTACTCCACAATTTTCCTTCAACCTGCAGTCATAACTTTATTTTTTTCTTGTCTATGGAGATTGGCTAAAGTATAAATATCAGTTCTGTGATTCATGTCAGTCAAATCACACATAGAAACTAAATTGCATCATACTGAACAACCTCAAGACATGCAGCTTTATAAATGCAGCCAACCATTTGGAAGCATTAAATGTGTCCAAGAACATGGCCAAAATCGCATCCAATGACCCAAAGACTGTTTAGACTGCATGTCACTGATGAAAAGATGATGGATGTCTACTATATTATGACTGAAATGGGCTTAAATAATAACTAAATGCCCAAAAGAATGTTACATTTTCACACACATACACACAAATTGCATGTAAACTCACTACTCGATAAATTTTAGAATGGCTAATTTTTACTCCTAATTTGAGTAATATTTACAGAGACATTTACTCTACTTGCACTATTTTTGGGCAAATATTGGTTTTTCAGTACTCTTTCCACCACTGGTTACTCTGCATACAAAAGGTTTCAAATGTAGGCCAGAGGAGGCTTTGTACTTTTCTGGTGTTCCAAGAAACCATCATCACAAGAGCACAATTCAGGCTCTACGATTAATGTCCTCAAAGGCTAAATGAAACATCTATTTTTGTTATACAGATACACCCAGGACATCATTTAAAACTGTAAAGTGTTTACATGATATTTCTGTATAACCTACTTTCCCAACATCAAAACACTAAGCCTTTGTAAATGAATGAAATGCCTTATTGTCCTATTTCTTCTCTATTGACAGAGATAGGCTGCTACAGGTGCATGATGCATGTCTGTTGTCAATGCTGCCATTTGACTGATTTAACATTCAACTAATGACTGGTCAAATGTAGAATGAACCAAAATAAATCTATTTAAAAAAAAAAGAAACATCCTAAAAATGGTCTTCTATGGCAGTACGTAGCTTGTTGCATATCTGACTATCATATAGCCTATTACACACTGTCACATATATTATTTTCTTTTATATTTTGTGAGGAGAAAAAATGTAGATATATTAAGACCTGTCCTGTTGTCTGGAATACATTTCTGAAGTAGTGTGTGCGATTAGATCTGTATCAGTATTATTATATTTGGAGGGCATTTACACCTGCAGTTTTCAGCTATCTGATTAGAAAATATATGCATAAAGTGAACAATGTGTAAACAGCCACACATAGTTACATTTTGTGACAATATATTCAGCTTTTGGTTTATACAAATGTACACTGAAAATAAATGACGTCGGCAAAATTGTTGCAAACAATTTATTTGAATTGCATTTAAACAAACAAATTATATAGTAATGTTCAACTTAATTTGTTTGTTTAAATTCAGTCCAAATAAATTGTATACAGCCACTACAAAAAAAAAAAAAAAAAAAAAAAAATTGTAGTAAATCCAAGGAATGGTCTTAGATTTTTTTGTGTGTGTGTGTATATGGTCCGAGCTGTATTCATCATTTCAGTGAAAACCGTGCATTTGCTGTTTTTTCAAACTACTAATTTAAATTAAGCTAAAACAACATAATTATTTTGGTTTTTCAAAAATCATAAAAGATTTTTGGGTCAACTTAATTGTTTTATATTCAATCCACTTAAATTGTAAAAACTATTACACTAACTTAACTCCTTCATGTTGTTCTAACAAAAATCAATTGTGCTTTTTACAGTGGACCAATTCTCAAAAAAAAGAGTTAATTCCCTGCAGGCACAGGAAAACAACGTGACGTCATATTGACGTTGTACCCCAATGTCGTGGAAGCATTGTATTTTCTTTGTATTTTCAGACCGACATCAATGTCCGATGTCCAACCTAAAATCAACCAAATATTAACGTCTAATCAAGTTACACCTTGACACTGTGTGGACATTACCACTATGGCATCTAATGGATTTTGGTCACTTTCCAACACAACCTAAAATCAACCAAATATTAACGTAAATTGACGTCATTTTTAGATGTCAAAATAACGTTGTCCTTAGGTGCTGGCTAGACATTGAATTTTGGTCACCTGACATCATGACCTTAATCTAACCTATTACTAATGTCTTATGATGTTGTGTGTCCGCTGGGTTCTAAAGTGGCCCAAAAGCAATATCAGCAGTTTCAGTCATCCAATGGCCAGATGGCAGTATTCACACTCATTCAAATCAGCCGCTTAAACAGAGCAATTACACCAGTTTACCTTTCAATCAAACCAAACAAGTGAATGCACTCAAAATGTATGCAATGAACTTGTTCACTTATAAACTTGTGCTTGCCGGACAATTTAACTTCACATTTGCATACAATAAAAACCATTTCCTGTTCCTCAAGTAATCTAATCTGAATACAAACCAAGCTATAATTTATGCTCACTAAGTTTGCATTCCATTGCCGTGGCAACATTGCAATAAACACATGCAGTGTCATCCTGGTGAATTTGTTTAATTGCAAAGGGAAGAACAGCACTCATGCATGAACTGCAGGACTCAGAAAAAACAGAAACCTGCAGTGTTACCAAAGCAGCCTGTTTCTTACAGCTATTGTCTTTTAAAGAACGGGGTGAAATAATATTTTCAGCCTATTGAAAGACTCTTTTCCCCCTAGACACCCTTTGTATTCCAGCTCCCAAAAACACAATAGGGACTAGTGCATTGAGATGGGGAGAAACTAGCAGGTCTCACAGCACACAAAAGAGCAGAGTTACTGTAAGCTGAGACGCGCTGTGAGCCAAGTGGCACTCTGAAGGACGGCTTTACGAAAGAGATACTACATTGAGGATCGAAGGATGTGGTTTATAATACAGCAGGTCTTGGTTGGCAACCCAAAGTGCCATTCAGTTTTTCTTGTCATTAATTTTTTGGTTAGCAATATAAAACATTCAATTCAATAACATTTTTGGGGGGAATAATCTATTGATATTTTAAAAATTTGTAGTAAAAATACATATATGTAATTATTTTTTATTAATTTTAATATTGAGTTTAACCATGCCACTACTGGATAATTTACACAATTTTTACCAAAAATAATAATACATCAAAATGTAAAAACATTATTTGCAGCATTTATACAGCAATATTCAATTATACTCAGCATAACAAAAATACATTTTGAGAGAAAAAATTATATGGAATAAGAAATGTGCAAGAAATAAATAAATAATTACGGTATTATTTACATTTATAAAAAATGTTTCTTAGTTAATATTATTGAATACATTAGCAAAAATAAGCTATATATTTGTTACAGTATTTATTAATCTTTGCTAACATTAGTTAATTAAAAATAAAACTTTCATTATGTATGTCATCTCGAGTTTAATAAATAATTTGAACATACATTGCAAATAATAAAACATTTTAAATTAAATTTTAAGTGTGATTTATTTTATTATACATTTAAACAATTTGAAACCCCCTGAACAAGAGTTACAAACAGAGCCTTAAATCAAATGGTTACCAATAATGGCAAATTAACATCTGGTCTTAAATTAGCTTGCTATTAGGATATTTACACTACTTGTTACTTAGTCCTTGTCACAACACACACTTATTATAGTAAAAAAAAAACATGAATTATGCATAATTACAGAAAACCTATCCTAAAACAAACCCCTATCCTAACCCTACCGTATTATTTGAACTCATTAATAATAATAACATAGTATTAAATACATCATAAGTTAGACGTTCTTACCATCATAGTCAGGATGTACTCGAGGATGAACTCCGAGCTGCATGAAGATGGGGGTATCAAAGCCCTGGCGAACCCACTCTATGACATATTGAGAAGCTGAGCTGTCCTTTTGCGGGGCTGGTAAACTGCAGGGCAACACTGCACTACTGTCTTTTTTGGCACGAACATGTTCTTCAGCTGCACTTGTGTCATCTAAAACAATTAGAAATAACATCAAATCAAACAATTATGCTGTCAAAACTTGCCTGGGTCAGTTATGAAAAGCTGGAACGTTTTTGTAAAATGCAGAATATGTGATTTGTTAATTTCCTTCAATCTTTATTTAATTGAACTAAGAAAAAATTAACAATTAACATTTTACAGTGTTTTCACTCACCAAATAAACCATATACTGTAAATGAAATTAAACTTTGATTTTCAAAGCTGTGTTTATAATGATGTAACATCAATGTAATATGTACATTAAAGATATGTAATTATTTGGTAATTGAGGATAATAACTAAACAATCTATTTTACTTTATTGGAATGACATCATAATTTGCTGAACTAAAGTGTGGGTCCATAGAACTGCGTTTGATCTGTTGCTCATGGCAGAAGTTGAAATACATTAAATTTTTTTCAAGCAGCAACATATACATCAGCCAATAAGATACATTTACGCAAATATACAAGCCGAATCACATTCATGTCAAATTATGAATAGTGGTAAATCAAAATGGAGGAAAACCTTAATATGTCTAATTTATAAAATGTGCATAGAACCCTCTCTAAAAGTGAACATACACCAGAATAAAGTTTTATTTATTAACTAATTTATTAATGATGGCTAGTTTGATGATTTAAAGTGGTCAATTGAGTCAATATTAAAGTTAAATATGTTTCCTTACAGTTCACTTACAGCTGAACACATGCTCGTGTCAAGTTTGTTTTTCATAGATCAGAACTATAACGTGGGAAGCAGCGTTCGCACATTTCCACTGACGTTTATATATGGTATCCCTGGGAGAATGTGTGCAGTAAGTAAACTGCAAATAAACATATTTAACCAAAATATTGACTTGATTAAACCACTTTAAATCATCATATGAACTATAATGGTTTATAAACAAATTACAATTTGTTCTAGTGCAAGTTCACTTTTAGGAAGATTTCTAAGCAAATCAGATCCCTGGTGCTTTATAATGAATCATTATATTCATACTGGAACTTCTCTAAACTAGTTTCTTTTTTTTTATTTATTTTTTTTTTATTGAACATTTTGATTTTGAAAAAAGCCCAAGATCCACCCAACAAAAAGTGTAAAATAAAATAAAAACAGTAATATTGTAATAATAAGTACAAAACCAGGATTGAAACATAAATGATACAGTCTCTCTCATATTTAACCAAAATTGAACAGTTTTTTTTTTACTGGCACAATTTATTTTGGCTGTGGTGTATTCTAAACTAATGATGCACAGTAGATAAAGCCTCCAGGATAGATCAGTTGAAGCAGATGGATCCAGCCATAGTTTCAGGATTGTTTTTTTTTTTTTTTTACAGCAGTCAGAACAAAACAGAGAACAGAATCTTTCTTTGGTTAATGGATAAGGAGAGTGATGAATCGTCCAGCATGAGAAAAAGCAATGGGTTGCATTGGATCAGAATTTACATTAGTTCTGATAGAAAGTCCCATACTTTAGTCCAGAATAATGCAATTTGGGGGCATGAGTTTCTTTTTTTTTCTACACTGTAAAAATGCCCGTAATATTCACGGTAAAAGAATGTAAAAGAGCGAAGGTAAAAAACTGTAAATTATAAAACATAAATTTTTTGTAAAATTAACAGTTAAATACTGTTAATGTACATTTTGCTAAAATTACATTATTTTATCATATTAACCCTTAAAACAACAATAAAATTCTAAGAAACACTAAAAAGTAAATCACTGTATTTTATACAGATGCATCCTGTAAAAACCCTGTTTTTTCCTTGTTTTTAACAGTAAATCACAATGTTGTGGTCTACAGGAATATATGTGTTTTTATATAGAAGTGTTCCATTTAAGACCTATTTATGAACCATAATGGTTAATTATATATACACCGGAACTGCTACATCTTCTGTGCCCTTTTAGCGTAAAATAAATTAATTAATTAATTTCTACAAACTAAATAAAAGTTAAAGGGCTGGTTTCACAAACACAGCTTAACCCAGGATTAGGCCTTCACTTAATTTTTGTAATTTAGTATTTTAGCAGTTTTTAGAAAAACACATTACTGGTGTGTATCTTGAAACTAGTCTAGGACTAGCCTCAAACCTTGTCTTGGAAACCAGGGAAAAGACCAATTGTCTTAAACCACAGCTCTGCATAGTTTAGCTCCAACCACCAACAACTTACACCTGCCAAATAGTTTCTAGTAGTCTTGATCACCTTGATTAGTTGCATCGGCTGTCTTTGATTAGGGTTGGAGCAAAACTGTGCAGAGCTGTGGCCCTATAGGAATGGAGTTTGACACCTATGGAAAAGCCAATTGAAAATTCACAGATTCTTAATTTCATTGTATTTTACAAATGCCCCAAATTTGCAAATATATATGTTCAGAATTGGGTTTAACTTCTGCTGCAGAAAAATAATGGCACACACTAAAACATTCATAAACCAATCAGAATCCAGCATTCAACAGCTTCAGAGTACAAAAAGAGAAGAATGCATGATTGTGCATCTGTCAGTTGTGAAGTAGATACTGTAAAATACTCACTGAATAGGCACAGAACTGCAACAATGACTTCCAACAGAGGAAGGTTCTTCAGTCGCATGATGGGCGTTCATACAGATTCACATACCTGCAGAACATCAAACACACAAGATCAAACAACAAGCAAACAAACCTTAACCACAAAGAAAGCATTATGTTAAACACGCATCCAGACAACTGCTATATACAGTATGTCCAAACACTTCCACGCCTGTTTCGGTTGCCTGTTCCTTTAATCTCAGAGCACACAGTAGGATTATGGGATCTTATGTGAACATTGTATGCATATCTGCATGTATGAACCAAAACACCGCAGAAAAGAAGGTTGTAACATGAGATTTATAGACTATTTTGAAGGATGTAAGCAAAAACAATGGTCCCAACGTATTTCCTGTTTTACATTTTTTATTTCTATAGCTTTCAAAAAGAGCCACATATTGATAAATAATGTTATGATAGCTGTTTTAACTTTAAGTTACGATTGAATTGTCTCTTGTTACAGTTTTGAAATAGTTTGATAACAAGCAGGAAAAGTTTATGGGCCAATGACATGTGGTCTCTTAAGTTTTTTCAAACTCCAGAACAGCGAGTGCACTATTAAAAAAAATAATGGAAGTCATGAAAACATACAGCAGGTTTTCATAATTGAATTTTAAGAGTAATTGAATCATGTTAATTTAGGTCAGCTATTTAAAGTCTGCTATTTTGTAATTTAATTTAGGACATAATGACTAAAATACAGTTTTCCAGTGTGATGTTGTGAGCTCAGGAGATGACACTTCTGAATGGGTGAGCCAATTAACTTGACTTTCACAGCTACAAACAAGATTTAATGCACTTTAACTACTGAAGTATGCCATAGTTTATTACTAACCTATGCAAAATTAAACATTTGCATTGCTATCTAATTCCCCTGAACAGCCTTGTCTTTAAAAATGTCATTGTATACAAGCATATGAGTGCGTTGGAACAATTAATCAATTCCATGCATGTTCAAAAAAAGGTAAGAAGAGGTTTTAAGTCAATGCTTAACTAATTAGCAATTTCTTAGATACAAATGAATAATTTAATTCACAGAATTCTGGTATCCTTAATGCAATGCAAAATACAGGAGGTGCGCACAGTTTTCATTTTCTGACTTAAACTTATATAGGCAGCTAATATTAACAGGTAGAGTTTAGTGAAATTCTTAACTTGTCAACCATTCTCCAGTCCTTCATTGGCCGCACCCATACATACGTCCTCTTTTTCTACGAATTCTCTGCACAACATTAAAAAGCACAAGACTTCTTAACTGCAAATTCTGGGCTCATAGAAAGTTTCGCTGCAAAGCTCAAGTTAATTTAGACAAGCTTCAACTACTTTGCCAAAAATGCTTCATTAGTATGCAAAACATATTGCACTCGAGAAGAAGTTCAGGTAACATATCACCTTTAAGCAATACAAATACAATTGTTTAATAAAAAGAAAAAGAGACAAAAATATGTTTATTTAGTAATTCTTTTTTTACCGACAAGTGTGTGTGTGTGAATTTATACACAGAAATATATACATACTGTATAGTAAAACATTTTGTATGGAATAGTTAATCCACCAAGACGTGTAAGCTCTTTAGTCACACTAGTAAGTTTCAATAGTTAAATGTCACACTTCATTAATTTCTGACCTCTGAGACTATTTGAGACTATACTTCACTTAAGACTTAAAATAGTTTAAGACTGATTGAAAATCAAGATTATTCCAATTAATATTTTTTATTAACTCTTTATTAACATTTAAATAAAATGGCATTGTATAAAAATGAATATAAATATGTCTGAAAACAGAATCTTTTTAATTATGTACTAGAATCTTTGAAAACTTTTCTGTAATCTCAATTCATTTATTAACTGAAAAAAAGTATATTTATATTGCATTTACTTTACATTGCATTTCTGATAAATAATTTGATTCTGTTGTTGTAAATGCATTTTACAGCACAAAAACACTGAAGGACACTTGTGTCACTGCTTAGTCTCTCAAATACTGATACTGGTCTTCTTAACTTATGCAAACTTGACTTAACAGTGTGTACAACATCAATAATAGCCATGCGGGCAATCAGGAAGTTTAAGAAAGAAGAAAATGGCCTCAATAAACATTCTCAGCTGCAGCAAACGTCACTTGGCCATCAGTACAGCACAGCGGTGTTTGGTAGATCATTAACACACTGCTGCTGTAAATACTAAAGCGTGTGACTAATGCTAAGGGTAAAGCTAGCACTTGATTTAGCTCACTGTGAGCCTGCTATGCATCAGCTCACAATGCAAACACTGTGTCATTATTACCCCCACGCAATGAGGGCAAGCTATTCTTAAAAACTCCTGAAAGGGGTCCCAAGACAATCCCAGAGGTCACACGTTTCTCACCACACACTCTCCTACTGCTCTGTTTACTTTGTTAGCATCTATTCAGAGATTCGAGTAAGCTGTGATGTATAACTCTGAGAACTTGAGTAATTAAAGAGTACTTATTTTTTGTACAATGCAAAATGCATCACATCAGCTGTATGGGATGCCGATAAACCAGTTTGACCATGACAAAAGCTGGTAGGTAAGCACTATGCTGCTGTTGTACTATAGGTGGGTAAGCACTATGCTGCTTAGTGTAGACACCAACTGTTCTCAGAATGTTCTAGATAAGTTGACTCAAAGTGTTTTGGTTGTATTAATAGTTTAGAATAATTAGTTAAAAGTTGTCTAGGCTTCAATAGCTTTCTTAATATGTTAGCACAAGAAACTAGAAAAGAAAACAGCTGAAATGTTCCTTCAAGTTTTGCCTAACGCCACTCAAAACTTCTCAATTCAATTAAATTCATTTTTATTTCGATAGCACTTTTACGATGTATATTGTGTCAACATAATCTTAACATAAAAGCTCTAGTAAATTGAAACCGTGTCAGTCTAGTTTTCAGAGTTGAAGTTCAGTTTAGTTCAGTGAGGTTTTATTTTCACAGCTGAAGGTCCAAACACTGAAGAGCAAATCCATTGATGTATTTACAATTTTAAGTTTTGTGTTTGCATTTAATATAATTTTGGATTTACTCTGTAAATTGCTGATAAGATTCATTGTAAATGTAAAAGAAAAGTCTTTTTAAGCACTCTTGGCATGTGGTCAAAGTAACAACAAAACATTTTTATGTTTTCAGATATATTTATTTTCATTTGTTAGATAACACAATACCAGTTAAGAACTCTATACTGGGTGGAACAACACTGAGTTTCAGTAACAATAAAAACATTGGTTACTTTTAGGAGTGTTACAGAATAAAACAAGTATGAACATATTATCATCGATCACTTTGTGTAACATTTTACTGCTAGTTACCTCATACCATTGATATTTACATTAGATGTCGTCTACGCTATTGTTTTTCTAGAAGAAATGCGTCAATAGAGCTGCCATTTTAGTACAGGGTAGCATGTGTTTGTGTACATGGAAATGTATTATCCTCCCTCCCTGTTAAATTTGATCTAATCCGTGTCCTGAAACACACTGTCCTGCTTTCACTTCTAATTATAACAGAGGGTGTGATTCATTTGTGAATGAATCCCCGTTATGAACGACTCGTTCACTTAGCCAACATTAATACAAGTTTCTGGCACCGCAGCATCTTGTTGTCATATTTTCATTGTTTTCTTATTTTAATCAACCAAACTAGCATAAGCCTAGCATTACGTGCAAGTTGGTGCTACTTTGCCACATGGTGAATGCATTAAGAGACTGTATTATCATTAATGCTTGTTTAGCACAAACGTTCATAACAATAAAAAACGTAAAAAAACGAAATTTTACCCTTAAAATCTTCTGCTTTAGTGCTTAGTAGTTTTTTTTTTTGTTTTGTTTTTTTTGCTCGTCACTACACCTGTACACAGCGCTAAAGTCCAGCATCTTCAGATTGGCTTTAATCTCAACTCATGCGGTTGAATGACATTTGCCCTGGCAGCACTGTACAAATATTACACTATATACTGCTTTGCTTCTGCACAACTCTGGTTTGCACTCCTTACAGTGTGCCTTTAAATGTAATTGTGTTTAACCGATAAGCATTTTCAAGATATACCTCGGTTTGGATAAGTCAAGGTTTTAAAACCACTCAAATTTTCTGTAATACCATTCCTAACCTCCAAGGGCTTTGTGGCCACAAACGTGGACAGCACATTTTAGATCTTATGTCTTATGTTTTACATTTTGTTACAGATATACAGTGTCATCCAGCAACTGTTTTGCAGCATATGAAATATCCCAAACACTATTTTAACTGTACAAAATGGGAAAAAAAAGTTTTTTTTACTGATGATCAAAACATGTTCAATAAATGTGTGTATGTGTTATTAATGCCCTAAAACAGTCATAAAAAGGCAGAAATAAAGAGTTTTTCATTCTATTACACAAAGGTGACTTTATTGTGTTTTATGGAAATTCGGACCATGAGCCCACATATATGGACATAATTTTCTCTAAAAGTAAATCATATCAAAAGATGATATTTAGATTTTATGCTAATTAGGCTCCAATAAGCCCAAATAGCAAAGAGAAATAAAAATACATGTAAAAAAAATAAATGCTGTGTGTAAGATTTTTTATTTACATCTTTTTTTAGGTCAGCAGTATCTTCAGCAAAAAAAAAAAAAATAATAACCAAAGATGCTGTTTTAAATTATAAAGAAATCTGTGTTTTTGAAAATATTGAAGACAGCAGAAGTCAATAATTCATATAAATTATTTAGCTTGGCATGTTTACTGCTCCAAATTATTATAAATCTTTCAAAAAAATAAAATCTATTGTTTTCAATGGGGAAAAAAGTTTTTGTTTTTTACCCAGACATTTAAAAATAATATATTTTAGAGCAACAATCATAATACTGTGACATTTTTATCCAAGGTTTGTTTGTCCAAGTTTATATTATATTTGTATTTATTGTAATTTCTTTTAAAATTTCTACTTTTTGTATTAACACTATATGTTAGGCACCTAGGGTCTGAGAGTAACACAATTTCAATTCTCTGTATGTCCTGTACACATGGTTGAATTGACAATAAAGCTGA